CATAGCAGTCCAAATGGAATCATAGTACCATAACTGTGCAACAGGAAAGGGCTCTAGGTGGGGTCCTTGTGCAGGATGTGTATGTCATAATTTGGAAACATATTTGTTTGTCTGAACATTTTCCTGACTACAAGCATTGCAAGTGAGTACTGTTATTTTTTTTGGGGGGGGATAACTGCTTTTTATGGGTTGGTTTTACTGCATTTTATTAAGATTTTATGTTTATGTTGTGAACCACATTGAGATGTTTCTCAAAAATACAAGCAGTATACAGATTTTCATAACTGGCTAGCTAGCTCAATTCACACAAAAGGACTCTCTCTTCCTCTCCTTCAGCTCCATGCAGCTCCCCCACTGCCACATCTGCATTGGGAACCCCAGATTTTCCAGATTATATTTTTAGAGCATAGGGTGTGAGTAGGTGCAAGAATCAGCCCCCTACCTTTTCCACTGAAAGAATCAATTCCAGTGGTAGAAAGATTTAATTGGACTCTATCCTACTTTTTTTTCTTATGTAGAGTGTCAGCATGGTGTAATGGTTTGAACGTTGGACTATGATTCTGGAGATCAGGGTTTGAATCCCTGCTCAACCATGGAAACCCACTGGGTGATTTGGGCAAGTGACACTCTCTCAGCCTCAGAGGATGGCAATGTCAATTTTTTTCTGAAGAAACTTGCCAGGAAAATCCCATGATATGGTCGCCTTAGGGTCACCATAAATCAGAAGCTACTTGAAGACAGGCAACAACAACAACAGGATCATCAAGTAAAATCCATTGCCTTGGATCTGAACAGATTGGAATCCATTTAGAATAACATGATTACAAGATTTCCATATAGCTATATTTAAACAGAGGAAGATATGCATAGAGGTTGTGGAAAATGAATATCCCTAAAGATCAGATCCAAAGAAACAAAGCAGATATTTAAACCATGGCGTGCAGTAGTAGACATCACTAGAAGAATTACAATTCTGAAGGTTGTAAGAGTTGATCTCTTGGCAAAGACTGTAGCCTAAAGAAGACAAGCAACTTGTTGGAAATTAATCTGGAGTGTTCTGATGCAGTTTCAGCTTTATGCTTTAAAGACAAACATGGCTTACAGTATACAACACGCTCCATATTTGGTTATGTTTCTCAGAAGATGTGGCATGTGTATAATTTTCAGAAAGCACTGGGATATGTAAGTGAAATATTGTATACATAAGGCATAGAGTGTATACAGTAGTTCTGTCTGTATATGGTGTGCTGTGAGTTTTATAACTGTGTTTAATTTTAGATACCATATGAACTCAAAGAAACACGGCAGAACATGTAGAGATTAGACAAGAAGTGTTTGGTGGTGGTAGGAACAATAGGATTTGCTTCATATTTTTTCAAGTTTGTATTAATTCTTCATCATACAAATTGAGTCTACTCTAACTGTTCTGGCTCAGTGCTAGGGAATCATGGGAACGGTAGTTTATTGTGGCACCAGAGCTCTCTGACAGAGAAGGCTCAATGTCTCAGAAAAAAATACAATTCCCATGATTTCCTAGCACTGAGCCAGGACAGTTAAAGTGGACTCAATTTGCACTATTTCTAGCAGTCTGCAAAGGCCCTTTGAGATACAGGTTTTTAGTGTTAATACTGCAATAATATTGCTATCGTTAGATGAGAAATTGCCAATTGCTTTGTAGCAATAATAATAGCAAGTACATTTCTGTACCACTTATCAATGAACTAGCACCACCTAAATGGTTTACAATGTGTAAATTGATTGCTCCCAACAAGCTGGGTACTTATTTTACTGACCTATGAAAGGATGGAAGGCTGAGTAGACCTTGGAGTCCTGCCTGGGATCGAACAATACTGGCATTTAACCACTACACCACCAGGCTCCTGCAATATGCTTCTTTTAGAAGCATAATAATAATAATAATAATGTATTTCCCTCCTTTTGCCTAAGCAATCAATCAGTGAAGCTGGGGATGAATTTGTGCAGCAGAAATCATGCAATTTGATACCTCTTTAACTGTCATGATAACATCTTATGGAACCCTGGGATTTGTAGTTTGTGGTGGCACCGGCGTTCTCTGACGGAGAAGGCTAAATATCTCAGAAAGCTACAAATTCCAGAATTCTATAGCATTGAACCATGGCACTTAAAGAGGTGTTAAACTTTTGCAGGGTACATGATATATTCACATTAAAAGAT